CCCTGCCTCCCCTCTGCTGTGGAAGGAGTAGAAGTTTTCCCTTTTTGATCCCCAGATATGCCTCTGCCCAGCTAGTCTGAAGGGTTTAGGGGCTGAAATGAGCCCCTTCCCCACCCCCCACCCGCCCCGCCCGTTTCAGTGGGAGCAGAGTTGTCAACCGCTCCCTTCCCAACCGTGCTGCCACTGCTGGAGTTGCAGGTCGAGGTTACATCTGCAAGAAGGATGCTTCCTCACTGGAGTGCTATACTCAATTTGGTCCTGATGCTGTGTAAGTCAGAACAGCAGTGATGTCCTTTATATTGCTATAATAAACCCTAGTCCAAGCAAATCATATTATACTAGGTAAAGTGCAGTTTTCTGTGGTATCTGTGCCTGTACTGGAAGAATCATACCCCTTCAGGACCCTAAGCAAGACAGCTATGATAGCCAGTGCTTGTGTGTCGACTCAGCCAGCCCTTAACCTTTCCTTTTCCTTTTTCTTTTTTTTTAACCTGCTTAGTCAGTAAATGGTGCAACAAACCGAGAAGCAGAGCCACAACGCTGTGCAGTGCTCTGCAGAGCCACCACAGCACCAGCTGCACAGGCTGGCACACGGTCCACAGCACCCAGCGCTGCTGTCTCGACTCCCGAAGCAGCAGAGCTGCTATAATGAGGTATCAAGCTTGCTCCAGGTTGAAACAAGAGCGGGTGTCTCAGTATGGGGCTGTGGTGTGCGCTGTAACCACACCAGCAGGGTCCTGGCCTCGCACACATCTATGCTGTAGCAGACATGTAAGATACTCCGTGGCTGCTTTCCAGAGCGTGGGATAGGAAGACACGGAGAGAGCGTATTATCATTTCTCTGGCCATTGCAGGTGCAAAGAGTTCGGTAACAATATTTGCTCTGGAGGCAAATTGCTCTCAGACTCGCTAGTATGTTTATTCAGTTGAAGAGAATTAGCCAGCTTTTCTGCTATGCAACAATCACAGGGTAAGAATTCCCAGACAAGGTATTTTTCTTTCTTTTATTTTATTCTCTTTTGAAACATGTGTCTAGGCAAGTGACAGACGAACCTTAAATTTTTTGGTTGTGTAATTGAAACATACCTGAATGTATCCTCCCTCAGTCCATCCCCTTAAATGTATTGAACTCTGCCTACTCTGCCTGGGTCCTTGGTAATTGGGCTCAAGAGAGCAACTTACCTTGTGAGTTTTCTATCTCCTCCTGGTTTTAAGGCATTCAAAGATATCTCAACCATATGGTGCTTGCAAGTACTTTGGTCTTTGGATTTCCGATTCCTCCTCAAACCAGGAGATACAAGGAAGTATGAAACTGTAAAAAAAACCTTCCAAACCTTAACATAACAGAAAAGCTCTCCATTTAAATTAAGTATACTAAGAAGCAGCTTATATGCAGTTCAAGGAAAGGAGAAATGTCTGAATCAATTCTTTAAAATCATCCAGATCAGAAGCTTACTGCCAGTAGCACACTGCCATGTGAAAGGGGTCAGAAATGACATTTTACAAGTATAGATCTTGGTCATGGTTGTCAGCCAAATGAATTCAATTAGGCTTTTCCATCTATGTGACATTCAACCGAAATCAAGTAGCCTTGACTACTGAAATGGCAATGGGAGTCATTTCAGTACCTGGATCACTAGATATTTTCCCATTGCGAAATAATTACAGATTAGGGGCCATTTATTAGAAACAGTTAAAAAAACAGCTAAGGGTAAGTGAAGGCAAGCTAAAGCTTCTTACATCATCTGTCTGTCTATCCATTTTATTATCTATTTGACCAACCAGAGATGTAGGTGGCCTTTTCCTCTAAGCTATATATTGAGCAATGAATTAGCCAGTGTTTATGGTAAAGTTTGTCCCACTTGTACTATGTCTTCTTTTTTTTTCCTTTTTTGAAGTTTTTGGATTTGGGTTTTCCTTAATTAAGCCATCTAAGGAAAATGTGCCATCTCAAGCGGGACACTTCTCATGTTTTGGGCAACTCCATTTGCACTTATTTGGACATGGAGCTAGGAAGCTGGTGTGAGGAATCTGGTCAAATATCCATAGATTTGATGGCCTCTCTCCATCACCCCACTAGCTTGGTGCCCACACACCCAGTAAATACATGAGCTGAGCCCAGCTGCCTCACTCACTGTGGGAGTAGAGAGTCATTGCAATGAACTGGGTAGGAAGTGAAAGCCAGTGGTCCCTGCTATCCGTTAGTTCATTTTTGGTCTTATTTTTCAGTTAGCAATCTATAAGCCTTATTGCAAAACTAGATTCTTCTCTCCAGAGTCAGTAATATTCCCCATGCCAGATGTAATAATTCAAAAAAGGGCAGACCTAGGAGAGAATTAGATTGGTTTAGGAAGTAGACTCCAAAACTCCAGTCACTGCAGCTGATTCCTCAAGTAAGTGGAAGGCTAGTATTACAGCTCTGTATTAGCACTGGAAGACTATAATTTCTATTCCATTTGAATTTTAAAATGAAAAAAAACTATTCCTTTGGCTTGGTAAATTCCACGAGTCCTTCCCACCTCTGTTTCCATTTTACTACAAAAATAGAAACAGTCTAGTTCATGTTTTGTTTCCAAGTTGGCAGGAAAAGTCACTGTGTTGGTTGGTAGCGCTATAACTTATTAGAACATGGGGCAGTTTAGCTTTATTTTGCTAATTGTTTTTCCCCTAACATATTAAATAGTGAGAGCTGATTCTCCAGTCTGTGTCAACTGGCAAGGGTCTGGCTCTTCTAGAGAAGGGATCCCAAACTCTTAATTAATGCAAATCACCACAATATTAATTATTACTACTAAGAAAACATTCTGTGATAAGACATGCACTCGGAATTGCTTGGGGAGGAAGACGACTTTGGTATACTTGTTTACAAACAGCGGGTGCCTTTGAGACAGCACTGTGATGTAGCCATGAAAAGGGAAAGGCAGTATAAAGAGACATATGCTCAATCAGACAGTAACAGTGCTGCTGCACAAGGCACAGGTGAGAGCTCAGCTTGGGCAGGGTGCACATTTTTTGTAGCATCAGTGCAGTATTAGGACCACACTCTTCAGGGTAATGTACCAAACTGTAATTGTATCTCTCATTTTAAACTGATGAGTGGGTCAGCAGAGGAACAGCATTTCCATCAACAAGCCAGGGAGCCTGACAAGAGTAAGGACATCTGCTTATCAGGGAAAACTAATGGCTGGTTCTATCTCCAGGGGTTTTTATTGACTTCATTGGTTCTGTTTTAATATATGAATATTACAGATTTGTAATGGATGTCTTTTTGGCTGACAAAACTTGTTTTTAAAAGAGTGAGAACTTTATTAGATGATTCAGAAACCTGAGGATACTCTACTTGTGCAAATCTTTTCCTGTGCGAGCTGCAACAGCCCACCAGGAATCATGCCCATGGGCTCTTAGCGGACTTCTCTTCCTTTGGCTCTCTGGCAGATAACAATGTCATATAAACTGTTTGTTTAGGGGAAAAAAAGAATTATATAAAAGTTATGTTTCTGCCTAAGAAATGAATGTTTAGATCAAAAATAATTCGGGCAACTCTAAAGGCATGAAATACTTTTGGGGAGAGGAGACATTGCTCCTCAGCAATGAATGAATATGATGTAATTTGTGTACATCATATTCAAATGCCCAGGTTAGCTCAGAGAGCTCCTCAGAAAGGATATTCTTTAGTGAGGCCAAGGCACAGATGACATCAAAGTACTTGGTGCAGTAAAGCTCTTTCTTGTGTGTAAATACAAGCTTTGCACTTCCCAAAAGGCAGTCCTGATGGGCCTGATTTCAACCTACCCATGTTTGATGTGGGGAGCAGGTAGGAGCTGAAGGTCACTTTGAGGAGAGAGGAAGAGTGTAGAAATGTGCTTCCATCAATATGAGGAAGTACTTGGGCTTAATAATGAACCTGGCTCCATCCTTAAAATTGCTCATTCATCTTAGCAAATCTATTGCTTTTCTCTTTCCAAGGATCAGTTGGACATATCGCACATGCAGCAGCCATCTGGCAGGCAGTGCACAGTAACCCCGTCTCTGCTGGGGGTGAGAAAACATGATTACTTACTGTACAGGGAGATACGGAGACATTGGGGAATTGCGCTAGGTTTTCTTCTTTGCTGGTTTAATACTGGACATCTTGACCCATGGGCTTCTGATGAGACTTAAGGTGCTCTGATGGTTAAATCAGTTTGGGCTATACTTTACTTCAGACTGCAATGAGGTCCAGAGGTGCCCAGAAGTAACTCGTCACTCTCTCGGGCACATTTGCCCTACTTTAGACACCTCTGAGGATGAAGAGGCACTTGGGAAATTATACTTTGAAATTCTTGCTCCTTGCAACCACACTTACTAGGCATGTCCCCATTTGAGTTTTGCCAACGCAAGGGGCGCCACTCTGCTGGCCCCGGTGGAGGAGCTGCTCCACATACAGATTGTCAGTATGGAGAAAGTGTTATATCTATATCGATATCTATCTATCAATCTATATTTTTTAACTGTAAGTAATGTCAGGAATAAAAGGAGTAAAATTTTAAACAAAGAGCCAATGTGGAATTAACAGACAAATGCATTTATTAGCTTGTTGTGAAATGGACAGCAGTTTACTGAAGGACGCAGTGGCCACTTCCAGCTTTTTCACATTTCCACCAATTTTTAGAGGCTAAATGCTAATGCAGTAAAGAAAATAATCAGTGATGGTGTTTAATCCATCCGGAGAGTTTTGATACGATCTGCACTGGCCCATCTTCAATACACATGGCTTGGCTTTGATCACCAGATCAGCACGGCAGTGCGTTAGTGTTACCCAGCGTGAATGGGTCATGCAGTTTCTACTGTTTTACGGGAACACTGGTTGCTTTTATGCTCCTCAGTCATGGAAAAGCACAACCTCCCTCCGCAACCCCATATCTTAGTACTTTGTCAGAACAGCAATAATTTCAGTGAATGTAGCCCCCCCCCCCCACATAGTTAGCTGCGTTACAGGCAGCTGTGCTGCTTAGAAAGAAATGCTGCAACTGTGAACTTTGATTTGTGTTTTGTTAGGCAGGAATGAAGTATTCTCTTCCTTCGCCTCAGTTTGCAAGACAGGCGACATGATTTCAGATTACATTACCTGAGTGATCATCATCCAAATTTTTTGTCCAGACAGAGCAGCTGGGCAAAAAACACCCAAGAAATCTGTGGTGAAAATTCAAATATCCATGCTTGCAACTATCCTCTGCAGGTATTTAGTAATTCCCAGTGATTATCTAACCATATGTTTTCTTTCTTTTTCTTTTTCTTTTTGTTTTAATAAATGATTCAACACATTTTTTTGTGGCACGTTAGCTTGGCTAAAATAACTCACGGTCTGATCCTGCTCTCATTGAATTTAATGACACCATTCCCATTGACTAAACTGATTAGGATTAGGCTCCCGTGAAGAAAAGGCCGTAGTATGCATAGAAGAATCCAGACTAGTAAATATAGTCTCTCTCACTTGTGGAGATACTGAGCTCATTTGATACAGAAATAATGTTTCTCCATAACCTGGACAAGTACAGACTGTCTAGTCCTGGACAGCATACAGGCAAACCTACCATTAGATTAATAAGAGAAAAAGTAAAAAATGTTGAAAATTTGCAGTTTTAATTAGGAACAGTGTAGCATAATCAGTGCAAGTTTTGCAATATGTTGATGTTACATTTTTTTCTTGCTTTGGTCTAAACATGCTACTCAGCTCCATTTGAAGATTTACAACAAGACTTGTACAATTCAAGCATTAATGGTCAGCTCTCCTTGCAAAAGATTGCATTTACAGCAGTTAAGATCTCTGTAAGTGACAGGCTCTCATATTTGCGATACAGTTTTCTGCAGGGGATTCCTTGTACGTCCAAGAAGCAGGTTTTCCAGGGTAAGATGGAAGGCAGACCCCCGCAGAAACGGCGTGATAACTTCACGTGGAAGGTCCTGCACCACATCAGAGCCAGGGGAAACATGAGTCACTGCCCTCCAGGGACACCTCAGAAATGCACCACTTTCGAGGATGAGGTGTCCTCTCGGGTTAAGTGCATCACAGGTTTGGCCCTTCCTGCTAAACCACTTAGACAGCTGACTTACAGGAGAGTGAGAAAGATCTGGGGCAACCGAGAAGTGGCAACATGTTGTGAAACGAGGAAATGACCAGCCGCTGTTAACTAGCCGGCGGGGTTTCACACTGCAGTGAGAGCTGATCCTCCAGGAGAATGAGGATCTATGTGGGGGTAAAGAACAAAGAGAAAAAAAAAAATCACTTCTCAGCTGCCACGTGTGCAGGCAGGGTGATTTCAAATGAACTCGTTTCCCAGCATAGCTGGGAAATCCTGAAGGCAGGAAAGCTGGGAGCGGGAAGAGCTGTCATTCAGGTGCGTCAAACCAGCTCTGCCATCCAAAACACTGCCGTCTCTTGCCACAGGAAATTATGGACAGATCCTGTGTTTATTGCTGATAAACTATGGGAATTAAGTGCAGAAGGTGCGCAATTCACCTGTAAACATATGGGATTCTAGATCTGGCAAATTGTTGTAGCAGAGTGAGAATTGTCCATGGATGAAACATGGCATAACAGTTTCATGAAACATTTAGGGAGATCCAAAATGCAGATTATTTCAGATGCAAGTGACCAGACTGGTCGCTTATGCTGATATAAAGGAAAATGACATAAATTCAGAGTTAGGAGCAACATTATTCCCTGGATTTGAGGAGAAGGAGTGTTTGGAGGTGGGGACAGAAATTTCCACTGAGCACTGTATTCAACTTGTACTGAACTTGTATTCAAGTATACACAACTTGCATTAAAATGATCTTAAATTCTGTTAATAAATTCAAAATCACCTCATTCATGAAGATTTAATCTGCTGGACTATGTGAACGATCGAAGATTTTATTCATATACGAAATGTTGACAATGGACAGCTCTTTGTGGTAAAAATTGTATATGATATAAATGTGTGACAAGCAGGGAGAAATTAAAAAAAAAACACCTAGATTTTCTTAAATTCTGCTAGGCTTGTCTTCAGTAAAGTCCACAGAGAGCCCAGTTAGGCCAATGCTGTATATTTTTGAAAAATCTCAGACAAAATATTGTCTTTTTTCTCAGACAAAATCTCAGACAAAATAATGACTTTTTAAGTTCTACTTGGCTCTTAGGTGATGAGCTTTTGGGCACTGGAATAGTTTGGAGAAGAGATATGAGGTTAAGATGACTGCAGGAATTCCGGTGACTCTAATGAGACCAAATCAGATGAAGCAGAAGGTTTTCTTCTGGCAGGGAGTGGGAGGCAAAGAGGAGAGAAATGTTGGTACAGGTGAACTGATGCAAGGCATTTGAAGAGGAGGAACGAGAAGGGAGCTAAAGAAAGTAGCTAAAGAGGTGATAACGAAAAAGGAGCGGAAAAAGTAAAGGAGTCCATGGAAGAAATTTCAGCAGGGGATGAACACACACTGGGAATGGCAGGAAAGGTTTATGATTTTAGCTGCACTGCCTTGATAAGGAGAAGCAAAGGCAGAAAGCCAAGGGTGCCCTCGATAAGGCCTTTGCACCTCTCAGGCTATGAGAGGGCCGAGTCACAGGTCTGAGTTTTGGCTGATGGATCAGACTTCAGAGTTAGCATCAGCATGAATTTTCATACGTGATTAGTGCGCTTAAGTCATCCCAGTTAAGTGCATTGACAAACTCCTGGCTCACAGGGGAGGGTTGTTCAGTTGTTTCTCAAAGTCAGCCCTCTCCTCAGCATCGGGCTGATGCTGGGTCCCAGCAGACTGAGGAAACCAACTGCCCCATCACCGTATCTTTATTTCTGCCTCCAGACTATGCCAAAGCTCTCAGAGAGTCACTGCACATGGAAAAATATTCCTCTGCTCTGATGTGCTCCTCCACCATTCAGTAGCCTACAAATGGATGGCCATGCACCCCGCCTGCAACTAAAAAACAGAGCATGCAGAGGAAAGTATTTCTTGCTAACTAGTGGTCCCTCTGTTTGATGGCCTGCATGATTTGCAGGGAAAGCAGGATTATCAGGGACAGATGATCTGATAGTTATTAAAAATAATAGGCCGACAAATGACATCTCCTGGGCCATGGAATGAAGTACTTGACATACCAGATGGGACTTCTTATCACTGATTTCTCCAGCTTACCCACTTAATATTGATAGTATGCTCAGACAAGGAATTAGGAGGGTCACGCCAATAAATGCACAAGCCTAAAAACTATCTGCATCAAGACTCAGTGATATGGGATGAGAAAGAAAGCTCTTTCCTGGAGTAATAACAAGTTGAAAGCTGTCTTTTGGAAGATGGGTATTAAGCTCTGTTCACAGTGATGGGAGGTTACTGGTGGGTCCATCAAGGCTTTGAGCTAGGACGTCTGCCGCACTTTGTGTGAGAAAAAGGGCTTTGTGCATTACTCAGAACTGAGGTCACTAAAATCCTAATTTGATAGTGTTCAGACATATTCATAAATAGCCTGGTAAAAAAGATGAATAGTGAGATGAGAAATTTTGCAGATGATGCAAATTATTCAGCATTGTAAAACTAAAGCTGGCCACAAAGCATTGCTGAAAAGAGTTCACAATCCTGAGTGACTGGGCAATAAAATGACTGATGTAGTGCAGTGTCAACAAAAGGAGAGTGCACACCGAAAACTCACTCTAACTATACTTTAGCACTGATGCGCCCTAAGTGTAACACTTAGCAAAGGGAGCTTGGAGTCCTCTGCAGATATCATTTAAAGTCCCTCAGAAGATGCAACTAGAACATTAGGAATGATTTGGCAAAGAGGCAAAAAAAAACAAATCAGAAAACATTATTATAGCACTCCTTGATGAAACTGTATCTGGATGACAGTACGTTTTCTGGCCACCTAACTCAGGATAGCTTGAGTTGAATTAGAAAATGCAGAAAGAAAAGCATTCAGGATGAGGAGAGATAGGAAACAGCCTCCAGAAAGGAGAGAAACTAAATAGATGAGGAGTCTTCAGCGTGAAAAGGGATGACAGAAGCAGGAGATACTGTAAAAGTGAATCAAATCATGAATGATGCAGAAAGAGGCAAATAGGGAATGGCTGTATCACTGCTTCTTGTAAGAACTAGAGGGTACCCAATGAAACTATCAGGCAAGAGGGTTTAAACCAACACAAGGAAGTACTTTTTCATACAAAGCATAATTAAGTTGTGGAACTCATTGCCACAGGATGTTGCGGAGGCCAAAAGTTATAAATGGCTTGAGAAAGGGATCAAAAAAAAAAAAATTTGTGGAGCATAGATCCATGGGTGGCTGTTAAAACATACTGGTCTGTATGCGGCCTATGCTTTAGGAAGTCCATAAACCACTGATTGCCTGAAGTGAGGAAGATACAGCAGGGGAAGCATCAGTCCGTACCTCCTCCTTCTTTCTATTTTCTCCTTCAGCATCTCCTCCTGGCTTCTCCTGGAGGCAGGATACCAACTTGTGCAGCCTGCTGGAGTGATGCTGGTCTGGTCCCAGCTCCTCTCACTCTGTTTTGAGAATGTCTCTCCTTACTCCCCTTTAATTCCAAAAAAAAAAAAAAAAAAGAGGAGGGAGGAGAAACAGCCACAGCCTTCCACACAATGCTAGTAGGCAGCCTGGTAGTTGTTTTATTTTCTTTAGAGTGGACTTTGTGTTGCAAGTGGCAGGAAGCCATGAACCACAAAAATAAAATAATTCTAACCCTAGTGCTAAGTAAGGAAAACAAAGATGGCTCAGCAATTAGCAGCATTATATATGTTAGTACTAAGTAACAACAGATGTCAGGACTTGAGCCCTTTGCATTCCTTGCAATCCTTTGGAAACCAAAGCCTTTTGACGTCGCTATACATTATTACAGTTATTTTGGGTCTGAGAGAGCAGCAAAGGCTGTTTGAACGTTGAAATATCTACGTTGCTAGGACTGGCTGGGTCTTACCTGCGTATACCTCACCGTCCTGCATACTTCTGCTGACTTAACAGGCTAGCTGTGCTGTAAAAGTCTGCTCTGTAAAGACATGCGCTGGCCATGAGTCATTAGCAAGCATGCGAAGCTAATTGGCAAAATACTCATAAAAGATTTTGAAGGTGGGTTAATTACAATTCATTACACTGTAAACTGTCCCCAGGCTATTGTTAAAAAATGCAGGAGTTTCAAGGTCCAGTATTTTATGATTCATTTTGCCATGCAGTGAAAAACAGACTCTATATCAAACTACATTCATTATCGTTAAGACCACAAAATCTTTATTGGTTTTCCCAACATTCCCTCCTTGTTATATGAATTCATATGGACTGCACATTTCTAACAATTGGCAAGAAGTCATGAAATAAAATTTATGATATTTTCTTACCTTATACTCAGCGCAGCCTTGAAAACTGCCCATTCCAATTGCTTTACCTCCTCCCACCCTAATTCATTTGAGCTGATAGGATGGGAAACTGAAAATAAATAGAGAAATGAGTGAGAGCAGCAATGTCTCCATGCTGGAGAGTTGGTTCTCTGATGAACCTGGCTGCTGAGCGTATGAGAGCACTTCAGCTCCAAGAGGATACTGATCATGGAACCGTAATAAAAAGAATTTCTCTTTGTATTAATACATGTAACATTTCTCAATTCAGAGTGGACACATTTGCACTGATTATTTCTATTTCCAGATGGAAGATCTTGTTGCGAAGCACAGGGCACACCTTTGGAGAACGGGGTTTCATTCCTGCCTCTGCCCTTTACTGCTTAGACAAATCATTCAGGCATGTGTATCATTTTACTCACATGAGTAATATTATCCACATGCTTTGCAGTATGGGGACCTTTGTCTAATTATAGCCATTAGCTTTTGTCTAGTTATAGCCATTTTATAGATATATAAAAGAATACAATGACGATGCCTTTGACTATCTTAGCTTGTAAGCTTCTTAGGCCGGGGATGTCAAATACTTACATTTTCTCATGAAAGGTCTGCGTCAGAGAAGCATTACTATAGAGTATCTTGGCCTAATTCTCAATAATGCTGTAGTGAAGAAAAGTTAATAGAGGCCACAGCTGTGACCTTTGTGGGAGTAGCGCCAGGCACTGCTCATCAGTGCTACCTATTGTACCCTTCTCCGGGGGGACTCCTTATCTCCTTGTGCCGCCTGGCGCTTGGGGGTCTCCTCTGGGGCTTGAATGGCGCCATTCATCCATGCTTCAACTCTACCCCAATGCGCTTAGCTCCGTTCACTTTTGCAAATCCAGTGGACTTTTTCCTCTGTTGGCCCAGCCTGCATCTGAGCACCCTGAGTCCTAGCCAACTTCTATACATACGGCTCTAAGAGAAATCATTGTTTGTGGCGCTTGCAGCTCAGCTGTGCTAGTCTTCATTTTAAATAGGTTCCAACAGGCTCTCAGCATATTGTTGTTACTGTTATTATGACATAGCATTGAGCTGCAACAGTCAGTGCTGAGCCTTGACTTAGTTCAGCCTTACTTGGCTTTGGATGCTGCTCTCCTGGGCAGCAGAGCCACCTGTGGAGGTGGGATCTGTATCAAAATCAGATGTAAACATAAGGAGTAAATGATGGAACCAGCCAGAAAATGTTCCCTTCCCCTATGGAAACTGTTGACATGGATGCTTTTTTTGTTTGTTTCAGTTAATATTTTACTTCCGTATTTTTTGGAGGTGATGGAGGAAAGGGGAATATTGATGAAATCTCCCATGCCAAAAAGAATTGCCAAAATTAACTTTTTTCTTAAAGAAAACTTCAAACTTTTCAATAAAATTGGAAATTTAGGAGGGTAAAATTTTCCATGCAATTGAGAAATGCCTTCTCTATCACCAAAACACAACAGTGGGGAAAAAAAAGCTACCAACTCTAGATGAGGTATCTAGGAACATCACTTTGTTCTAGTAAGGATCAGTAATGGATTTATTGTAAGGTGTGTTAGTTTTGTTTGCAATAGGATTGTGCAAAGTGGCTTGGCTATTTTGTTTGAGGTTTGCTTTGGGAAAATGGATTTTCCTTACATAAGAGCATAACAGTGTCAGAATTGCCATATCTGCTGGGACCAAGGCTCTGCCTAGCTCGCTACCTTGTTTCCACAGGTGTCCACAAACCCCCTTGAACAGAAGCATAATACTCCAATCAAGCGTATATGATACTTGCCCTGGGTGGCCTGTCAGCTCCACGTCTGTTCTTTCACACTGGGCACAAACCTGTCCCTACCATTGTGACGGGAGACTGTGACAAGGGGAAAGAAGCCTGCAGGATCACCTCCTTTCGCAGGTGAGCTGCAGGGCTCAGGGGCTGCTGGCACAGCGTGACCAGGCACAAGGGCCATATTTCCACCAGGTGCCCCACTGTCTGCCACGTGCCCTTTGCTGAACTGACTGCCTTATTGCTTTGCTGGGGAACCCAGGTCATTGCGCACGGCACTGAGCAAAGACCAGAAAGTGTTCACAGCCTCCTGTCCCAAGCTCAGCTGGGTTTTCAAAACCAGTGGGCAGTTGGAGCAAAGAATGGGGAAATCAAATTTCAGTGGCAGGGATATTTATGGGGGCTCTGACTGAAATTTCTGTGTCTAGGACCAAAGAACTATATCCCAAAACATTGGCAAAAATGTCTTTTGCTTTGTTTTGGTAAGAGATACAGCAGTTCTCGTTGCCATCTCACCTGGAACTAGTACTTGAAAAAACTTCATCATCACATCTCAGCAATGTCAGTGCTGTTACTGGAGTGCGGTAACAGTGAGCAAAATGGAAGCAAAGGAGGAAAAAAAAAAAGGGGTGACCAAAATTTTCCAAGCTCTTACAAGTTTGTTTCTAGCAATGGAGAGATTTTTGCAAGTGGCAGGTGTCAGTATTAAGTACTGAATTGTCCATTTTCCCTTTGGTCTCATAACAAACAAGGATATTAGTTTTTAAAAATAGACATTTTTCATCACTTCTTTTTAGGTTCATGCCTCTATAAGGCACACAGATGCTGAATTTGGACAGGACATTTTAGCCATAATTTATGAAGCTCCAAAATTTCAGAGGCTCTATTAAGAATATCATCCAGAAAGTGGGACTTTTGCCATTGGCTTGATTGGCTCCAGGATTACAACCTTGCTGCTCCTTGGAAGTCATCTTTGATTTGGAAATCATCTTTAAAAATGCTATGATACATTGCTCTCTCAGGAGATTCCTGCTACTTCATCGTTTTGACAAGGCTGTAAATAACAAAAGAGCTTTATTCATCAAGTGCTCCTCGAGTCCTGGCTGAAATCAGAATAGTTAGAAATGGGCAGCAGCAAAATGTTAATCAAATTCCTTGGAATCTCAAAAGAAATGTTGAGTAGAGCTTCTCCGAGACTGCAGAAAACTGTCCATGGAAAACTGTCAACATTTCTCTCTAACACATTTTTGTCAACATTTGGTGTCTGTGAGTCAACTGGTAAAGTGGTTGGGAACAACAGGAAAATATAATTTTGGGGGGGTGGGAACATATATTTAGGTGCTAAATACATAAAATATATGCATATTTCCATCTAAAATATTACATACACACACACACACACACACACTTTTTCCCCTAATTTCTAAGTCTCTGTGTGTGTGTGATGCTTCCATATGACAACTGGGAAATTTTCAGCCAGCTTAAATTTGGAACCAGTCACTGTGAAGGCAGATTTCTTTGTTCATTGGACAAGCCCATTTTGACCGAATAGGTCTCCTAGCTGTACACTAGATACCCAAAAGCCATTCTGGATGGGCTATATGACTGGACATCACTGCTAGCGAGGGTTGCCTTGTGGATGGCTGTGCAAGGATGAATCCCATGCTTGTGCTTTCAGAGTTGCTGAGCATCATAAGCGCTCTGGACTTCCCCTCCCTGAGCAGTTATAATTCACTGTCGTACTGCCCTCCGCTCCAGCAGCTGTTGAATCCCGTTGGCATTGAGTGTGTGCTACAAAATGGGGAAAGCATGTGAAAGCGTTTAGGGAGAAAGCTTGGCCCCATGGCTGACCATGGCAAAAATCCCATTGACTTCAATAAACCTGGACTTCACCCTCAGTCCTTGGAAGATTTTTACAAATGTGCAAATATCACACTGTGTATATCCCATAATCAAAGCCTCTCCTGTTGAGTTTATTTACTTTTAAAATGTGTGTGATATTAAACCAAAGCTCTTTAAATTCCTGCTCTAATCCTGGGCCCAGTGGAAGGACCCTCCCCTTCCGTTTTCATTGTAATTCATAGATGCTCCTCCATCAGTTTGGTGGAAGTGCCTCACTGAAGGTCCCTAATGTAGGTTGTTTCCTCCAGTACATTCAAAGGGATGACACACCTCACATTTGGCTTTTATAATCCTATGAAAAAAAAAATCTGGCTCAAAAGCTGCTGACTTTTTTCTAACAGCAGCTGAGCTGCTGAGTTCTGTAGCGTTCCTCCCTCATGAGCTAAATCCTGCAGCTCAATGCAGGGAAAAGTGTAGCTGCAGTAAACCTTGCAAAAGAGAGGCACTGCTATCTCGTTGCATGCTGATACCCCAGCCATCACTTTTGGAGTCAAACAGCTCACTAGCAAAGGTAAAATTATCACCCGCAGTCATGAAGGGAATCTGCAGCCCTACGATCATCATGTCTCTGCCACTGATTCCCTAAGTGACCTTGGACAAGTTATGCATGCTCCTTTGCTTCAGTTCCCCATCTAGAAGATGGAGCTAGTAACACTTGATTTGCTCGTCATGTTTATTTAAATTATAAACACCTCCAGGCAGAGGCAATCTCTCACAACGTGTCTATACAATGTCTAATAGAAGGCCCTTGTCTCAGCTCAACCTCTAGGTAGTACATGGAGGCAAATAATAATACTTAGCAGAGTGCAAATTTTAAACTAGAAATCTAATATCAAATAGTTCTCATTCTCTTCTGCTTTTGGCATTTGGCCCTATTCAAGATGATTTTGTTTTGTTTTGCTTTTTTAAGACGGTACAAGACCAAATCCAGAGGGCCCTCTGTCTCTGACTCCCATGAAAGTTTACATTACAGTCACTGGCAGTTTGTCCATGAAGAAGTGTCCCAGGATTTTCCCCTTAGATAGTTAAATGGCTGTACAGTAGAAAGCAAGAAAGAGTGAACTCTAGCTGGTACTGTGTTTGCAGCTGTAATCAGAAGGTTTATGGAAGAGCAAATGAGAGGAAAAAAACAAAACAAAACAAAACAAAGGGATGCCATCAAAGTCTTTTAAAGACAGAAATTCATTTTACCTTTGTCAATGGCTGAGGTTTTCAGGGATAAAGATCAAAGCAATGACTGTGGGCAGAGCTATGACAAACGCAGAGATCAGTCTGTTAAAACCTAGCATTAGCGCTGCAGTTAGACTGGTGTCTAGACTAGCAGTGGGTACTCATGCCAGGTTTGGCAAACACGGGAGCCGAGTGCTTGCATCATAGCTGTAGCAAGAAGAGTGAGGCATCCAGATTGCAGAGGCGAGGGAGCAATCAGGCTCCAGTAGAGTGGAACTGGAAAAAGGAAGTTTAAAAAAAAAGAAAGAGAAAGAAAGAAAAAAAAAAAAAACACAACCAGTTTATTGCCTGAGCTCAGGGAAAGACAGCTGAGAAGATGCATTCCCCCCTCCTTGGTTTGTTCATTGTGATTAATGTACACAGAAAGCTTAGATAACTAGGGGAAAGTAATGCCAAATTCTTATCAATACAGATGAGCTGGCTTCATATTTCTCCAGCCCTTTCA